GTTCAAATTCTGCAATGTTATGACATCAGAAACTTGGACACATGTCAGAACAAGGAATAGAAGTCCTTGTGGAGCAAAACCTACTTCCAGGCTTAACAAATGTATCACTTACCTTGTGTGAGCATTGCATAACAAGTAAGAAACACCGGTTGAAATTCAACACGACAAATTCTAGAGGCAAAAGTGTTCTAGAATTGATTCACTCTGACGTATGGCAAGCACCGGTTACATCCCTAGGCGGAGCAAAATACTTTGTCTCATTTATTGATGACTACTCTAGGAGATGTTGGGTGTACCCTATTAAGAAGAAGTCAGATGTGTTTTCAACTTTCAAAAACTTCAAAGCGCGGGTGGAACTTGATTCTGGAAATAAAATCAAGTGTTTCAGAACAGATAATGGAGGAGAATACACAATCGAAGAATTTGATGACTTTTGCAGGAAAGAAGGCATCAAAAGACAGTTCACAGTGGCGAACACTCCTCAACAAAATGGAGTGGCAGAGCGGATGAACAGAACCTTGTTAGAAAGAACAAGAGCAATGTTGAGGGATGCAGGCCTAGAAAAATCATTCTGGGCAGAAGCAGTCAATACCGCTTGTTATTTGGTGAATCGAGCTCCATCAACTGCAATAGAGCTGAAGACACCGATGGAGATATGGACTGGTAAACCAGCTGATTATTCAAACCTCCAAGTATTTGGAAGTATTGTGTACGTGATGTACAACTCCCAAGAAATTTCAAAGCTAGATCCAAAATCCAGGAAATGCAAATTCTTGGGGTATGCTGATGGTGTAAAGGGGTATCGCTTGTGGGATCTCACCACCCGCAAAGTGATCATCAGTAGGGATGTTATCTTTGTAGAAGATAAACTACAAAGAAAATAAGATGATGATAGCGCTGAAAAGTCAGAGACTACACATATACATGTGGAAAAGGAGGTTGAACAAGGAGATTATTCTGAAGCAGAACCAGCACATGATGAACAAGAACCAGAGAGTTTTGAAGCTCCAACAACTCGTCAATCAGATCGTGTGAGAAAACGTCCCAATTGGCACTCAGATTATGTTATAGAAGGTAATATTGCATACTACCTTTTAACAGAGTACGGCGAGCCATCAACATACTAGGAGGCAATAAACAACTCAAATGCTTCACTGTGGATGATGACGATGCAAGAAGAAATCGAAGCCCTTCATAAAAATAATACATGGGACATTGTGCCACTACCACAAGGAAGGAAGCCAATTGGTAACAATGGGTCTTCAAAATCAAGCGAAATGGTGACGATCAAGTTGAGAGGTATCGTGCAAGACTGGTGGTCAAAGGATATGCTCAAAAAGAAGGTATTGATTTCAATGAAATATTTTCTCATGTTGTTCGATCAACAAAAGTTCGAGTAGTTTTGGCAATGTGTGCTACATTGAACTTACATCTAGAGTAGCTAGATGTTAAAACAACTTTTCTTCATGGAAATCTTGAAGAAGAGATTTACATGCTCCAGCCTGAAGGTTTTGAAGAAAAAGAAAAGAAGAACTTGGTTTGCAGGTTAAACAAATCTATGTACGGTTTAAAGCAGGCGCCGAGGTGTTGGTATAAGAGATTTGATTCCTTCATTATGTGCCTTGGATATAACAGACTTAATGCAGACCCTTGTGCTTATTTCAAGAGGTCTGGTGATAACGATTTGTTATATTGCTGTTGTATGTGAATGACATGTTGGTTGCAAGACCCAACAAAGATCATATTGACGAATTGAAGGCACAACTGGCTAGGGAATTTGAAATGAAGGACTTAGGATCAGAAAACAAGATTCTAGGGATGCAAATTCACCGAGACAGAAGTAATAGGAAGATTTGGCTTTCACAAAAGAATTACTTAAAGAAGATCTTGTCACGATTCAGCATGCAAGATTGTAAGCCAATTTCTACCCCTCTTCCTATTAACTTCAAATTATCCTCCAGTATGAGTCCTAGCAGTGAAGAAGAGAGGATGGAGATGTCTCGAGTACCGTATGCATCGGTAGTGGGAAGTTTAATGTTCGCTATGATATGCACAAGACCAGACATTGCACAAGAAGTGGGAGTGGTTAGTCGGTACATGGAGAATCCAGGCAAAGAGCATTGGAATACAGTAAAGAGGATCCTGAGATACATCAAAGGGACCTCAAATGTTGCATTATGTTACGGAGGATCAAACTTACTAATCAATGGGTATATAGATTCTGACTATGCAGGGGATTTGGATAAAAGCAAATCTACAACAGGATATGTGTTCAAAGTTGTTGATGGAGCTATAAGCTGGGTTTCTAAGTTGCAGTCAGTTGTGGCTACATACACAATAGAAGCAGAATATGTAGCAGCTACACAAGCCAGTAAAGAAATAATTTGGTTGAAGATGTTATTGGAGGAGCTTGGGCATAATCAAGAGTATGTCTCTCTATTTTGTGACAGTCAAAGCGTCTTGCATCTAGCAATGAATCCAACATTTCATTCAAGGACAAAGCACAAACGAGTTCAGTACCATTTCATTCGTGAAAAGGTGGAAGAAGGGACGGTAGATATGCAGAAGGTCCATACCAAAGACAACATAGCAGATTTCATGACGAAGGCGATCAACGCTGATAAATTTACCTAGTGTCGATCCTCTTGTGGCCTGTCAGAAACGTAAGTAGCATGAAGGTACAAGGTAGAAAGAATGGTGTGAAGATATGATTGTTCCAATCAAATCTTCAAGTGGGAGATTGCTGAAAAGTCAACAAGTGTAGGCAACTTTCGGTGGGTTTTTTTTACAACAATATTTTCGGTGCAAGTGGTGCAAATGGAAGCTGAAATTGTTGAATATTTTGGATGGTAAAACTATGCAATTAGTCATTGAAATTTAGGGTACTTACAAATTAGTCCTTAAGCTTCAACTATAAATACCCTAGCTCATTTAGCTTCAAAATCATCCCAAAGCATTCTAGCTTTCTTCCAATACTATAGAGAATTTAGAGAGTTTCTTGAGAGTTGTTTTCTCCTTTTTATCAAGAGAGAATTATCATTGTTTTCTCCTTGGTAGATCGAGAGAGATTGTAATTCCTATTTTTCTCATAGTGAAATTCTTCTACCGTTGCCCGTGGTTTTTACCCTATATTATTTAGGAGTTTTCCACGTAAATTTTGTGTCTTCTTTATCTTCATTTTTATTTTCTCAAATTATCAGTTGCGATTTTGCTCTATCCGATAGCCGTCTTCCGCAACATCATTAACATGCAATTGGTTGGAAACATAAAAGGGAAAACTCTGAATAGCTCAATGCAGAACATGCATATGACGTAGTATCACCTCACCAGGAGAAGTGTTAAATCGAGCTGCAAGGACATAACTTGAATTTTCGGAAATACCACATCTTTTTAAGGACTCCGTGATCTGGAAATAACCGTCGTTTGTTAACTTCAATCTCAAACTAACTGAAAATCGGGTAATGAACTTCAGAGACAAATATGGTTAAAAAATATTACATGCTTAGATCCTGATTAATTGTAAACAAGTTTAGAATGGAGTGTTCGTGTAGTCAATGACTCACGCGACTTGTAAACAAGCGTCTTAAATGCCGCAGCTAGAACTGGAAAAACATCTGGAACCTGTTTTGATCATCCATACACATGAGATCAGAGAAACTATATGAGAAAAATAAAAGTTAAAAAACTCAGGAATCATACAAGTGATGCATTAAGAAATGCAACTTCAGGATCAAGTTTCACATCTTGCATAGATTCTAGGAGTTCCCTGAAAGATCACAAACAAGATTTAGATATCAAGCTAACCGAATTTGGGTATTCTAATAATTGACCCGAGTAACTCGTGAGCTTAATCGAGCTTTTATTATTTTTAATTAGTTTTATAAAATTTAATTCCAACTCCAACTCGAGCATATATAATTGAGCACCAGAATTGAGCTCAACTCGAGCATATATACTCGAGCACAAGAATCAAACGTAAGATTTCAAAACGAAACTAGATCGAGCCTGCCTTGAATTTCAAAATGATTTCGAGCTTACCCTTATCAATCACCCAATGTTAGCTTATAATAGAATTGGGTATGTTCTAAGAAATACCATTAGAAAGAACTTCATGGAGAGATAAATCTCCCAAATGCTCTAAACAGGCTAATGTAAATATGGAAGTAAAACCCAAAACCCTAAATGGACTGGAATAGCAATGAGAATTCATGGTTGCATTTGATTATCAACGAAATATGAGAATTTTCCAACATTTAAAGACGGTCCAAAAATAACAAGAAACCGGAACCAGTGCATATATCTATCATTAAGCCATTAAATAAAGAGCTTTGCTTTGAGATAGGGAAGGGAAAGGGAGAAATTACTTGGAATCGGTGACGTCAGTGAAGAGGGCAAGCGAGAGAGTGTTGCCATTGATTTGTAAGATCTTCATATCCGATCCGTAAAAACTAACAATCAGAAGCTTGAATATGGAAGCTAGGTTTTTAGCTTCATCGTCCTACAGTTATAAATCAGAACGGCGCGTTTAATATGGAAGATGAAAACAAAATAAGGCATTGTCAACAAAATTTCCTTTAATTTGAATATTAATTAGGCTTAATCAGGGACAAAACCATTATTTCAACTCAAGGAGGTAGAATATAATTAATCCATAGAAAAAGAGAAAGACAAAATCAAAATAAACTAAAATTAGGAGTTTAATTTAGAAATTATGTATATATATTTTTAATAGTAAAAATCTTAATAAGTTATAAATAGTTGTTAAACATTCTATTTTAGACATTACTAAATTCACCAAAGTTGGAGGGTTTAAATACAAAAAGAAAAAAATGATGGGGCTGAGGAAGGGTTGAACTGGTCAAGAATGTTAACCTTGGATTCTTGAAATGAATTTTTCTATTTACATGCATAGCCTTCTACGTGTCATCTTCTTCACAGGAGTATTCGAATAACCCTAATCCTTCTCATTTTCTCTCTCTTTCTTCCCAAACAAAAAATAAAGCAATTTCTCTTCCAAATTTCCTTTTCATTTTGCATACTTGATTTCTTTTAGTTTGAAGGGTTTCCTTCACCCCTTCACAAATATGTCTCTCTCCATCTTCCTCCTTTGGATGGTTAGCATCCCCCTTCTGGTCCATTCTGACACTGCTCAACTTAGAGGTAGGTATACATGTATATATTTCAATATATAATATTCTTCCATTTTTTTTGTCAATTATTGGTGACTTTGTTTACTCTCATGCATGCATGGCCGCCATTGCTACTCAGGCCTGTTGATAAGCTGTGGCTCCTCGCAAAAACAAACGATGCCAGATACCAACCTCACATACATTCCCGACGACGGCTTCGTATTTGCAGGAAACAAGACGTCTCTCAACCAGACAGGGTTGCTGCCGATTCTATCAACGCTGCGATATTTTTCTCAAAGATGGGCAAGAAAATTTTGCTACACCTTCCAGGTAGTCAAAGGAGGGAAATATCTGGTGAGGACGATATACTTTTACGGAGGCTTCGATGGAGGGAAAGAGCCGCCAGTGTTCGATCAGATCATCGGAGGGACAAAATGGAGCACGGTGAACACGACTGAGGATTACGCCAACGGATTGTCCTCGTATTATGAGATCATCGTTAGGGCTCATTTGAAGACGCTGAGTGTTTGTTTTGCGAGAAACAGGCACACGGCGAAGAATTCCAGTCCCTTTATATCCGCCATTGAATTGCTTACTCTCGAGGATTCCATGTATAATGCAACTGATTTTGATAGCCTAGCGCTTGTTACTGTTGCAAGGAGTTCGTTCGGAAGTGAAGATAGCATCAGGTAACGGGAACTCAATCTGCGATCAAATAGAATCGAGTCTTCAATTTGACTCGTTTAATACCTACTATAAGCTTCAAAGAAATTTTCTGGTGGTAAAACGTGTAAATCTTTTGAACCTAGCTTTCCAGATGACCCATATTACCGATTCTGGCAACCATTCACGGACAAGAACGAGGTCGTTTCAAGCCAAACGAAAGTAACCACTTCAGAGTTTTGGAACAAGCCGCCGGAGGTAATATTTACCAAGGCAATCGCGGCGGGTGCGGGGAAGGAACTCGAAATCTCATGGCCGCCGGGATCACTTCCGGCCACCAAATACCACATCTCGTTGTATTTCCAGGACAATCGGTCGCCGGGCGACGATGCATGGAGAGTGTTCACTGTCGAGATAAATGGGAAGGCTTTTTACAACAATGTAAAGGTGTCGACCGGCGGCGTGAGCATTTATTCGCCAGGATGGCCGCTGTCGGGGCAGACCCAAATCAGCTTGAGTCCCGACGCTAAAAGCTCCGCTGGGCCGTTGATCAACGCTGGTGAAATTTATCAGATTTTGCCTTTCGGTAGGAGGACTCTTACGAGAGAAGGTAGGTTGGCTTTCACTCATTCTTCATTATTATTATTATTAGGGTTAATGGCATGAATGGTCCCAATATGTTTGACAGTGGGGGTAATGGAGGAGTTGGCAAGAGGTTTTGATCATCCACCAGCTGACTGGGCAGGCGATCCATGCTTGCCCAAGGACAACTCATGGACCGGAATCACTTGTTCTGAAAAAGATATGCGCACTAGAATCATCTCTGTGTAAGTCACTATCTATTTTACGTGCATCTTTCTATGCAACATTCAATTCCAATCATCACTCATTTTTTTCTTTATCATATCAAGGGATCTTAAAAATGCCGGCGTAGGTGGCATTCTCACTCCCTCTTTAAACGGTTTAACTGAACTTCACCATTTGTAAGTAAATCAACCTTTTTTAATGATGCTATTAAACTTTTTTAATAGGATCCATTCAATTTTAATATTCCACTCTTTTTACAGGTGGTTAGGGGGGAACAATATCTCGGGTTCAATCCCTGATTTGAGTTCGTTACAAATGCTCGAAACTTTGTATGTCTTTATTATTATCATTCTCTTCTTTTTTATTCAGTTGCATTTTCATTTTTAAAAATTCCTCATGTTTATGCATGGAAGGCATTTGGAGAACAATAGTTTTACTGGGAAGATCCCCGAATCATTAGGCCGACTTCCCAATCTCCGTGAAGTGTAAGTGTTTTGCCAATGCTGAAGCATAAATCAAAATAAATAATAAAATCGGTTCTTAAACTATACATTTTTTTTAACCAAAAAAAATTAAGTATCTAAGCGGAAAATTATATAGTTTACGGACTATTTTCATTATTTAACAAAAAAAAATCCAATTTTTACGAGTTTGTTGGTGTTTTTGATAGACTCCTTCGGGATAATAATCTTGAGGGTTCCATTCCAAGCAACCTTGTGGACAAGAAGGGCCTAAGACTTGAGTAAGAATATTTAATCTCTCACTTCTTATTTTCCATTAAATATTCATGTTCGATTATTATAAATGATATATATTCAAATATATACATGAAAATAAGTATAAATGCTCCTGTTGCACTATAAAGTTAAGAACAATTCTGGTTTGATATGTTTGACATATAATTTTAAAGTAGTCAAATCTCTAAATTCATTATGCTTTCTTTATTTCAGGGTGACTCCTGGAAATAATTTATCTACGAATAATTAGAACGAAATAAATATTTAACAGGGACGAAAGTTCAAGCGCCAAATGAATGATCCAACGGCTACTCATGTTTCTCTTGGGAAGATTTAATAATGTACTTACATGAATGTGCTTTAGTACAGTTGAAAAAACATATTTTGTATTATTTATTACATTACACATTAAATTATAATATTAAAACTTTGATTGACTGTTAAATTCTATGAATGTTGGCTGATTACTGAATAATTTCTATTTTGATTTTTTTTTTTTTTGCAATGCCTTTATTTAAATATAAGATTCAAACAATAATTAAATTTGTAAAAATTTAAATTATCGTTGCACTTAAATAGTTGAAGACGAAAACTCTTCTGTAATCTTATCACTGTGGAGATCAACAGTTGGATGAGTCAACTCTACTGTACTAAATTATTCTAGGTTTATTTTTTCTAATGACCCCTTTATTATTTAAAATTCCATTCTAAACTCTTTAATGTTCACCTATATCATCAATAGTAATATTCATTATCCACTCTATATAACTTCATTAACTCCTATCTAATATATCTTTTCCTTTTTTTTAACAAAATGCTCGATTAACTCATTCGGTCCCTCTACTATTTGAACCTTACAAATTAATAACTATTCTAAGAATTTTAAAGTAATATTGAATACGTATCGATATTCGACAAAGAAATAAATATTATTGAAAATAATCTGTGAATTTTTGTTGTTGAATATTTGAACTTGTAACCTTTAGGGAGAATAAGATTTTCTTTACCACTAAGGTCACTTAATGTGTTCTTAATATAATTATTATTAAAAATTTATATATTTAGAGAATTTTTGTTAGATCATATATAATTATTTTTTTTGAATATATGCTATCTATAATAATATAAACAAATATTTAAAAAAAAGAAATCAAGATAGCGTATAGCAATCTTCTCAAAGCGCTTGAATTTCTTACGAAGCAACTCATCTAAATTCAATGAGACATAATTAATTCCAAAGATTCTTGTTTCATACTTTCCATGCTTGATCTAAAATGTCTACGGCCCATATTTGTGTAATTACATTCTTTAAGTCTAACCCTAAATTTAGACATGAAATGTCAATCCAAATGTGGAATAGAATAAATTTAAAATATCTGAATCAAATATTAAATATGTATACTTATATTTAATGTTTAAATTAACGATTAAGCTGATGAAGAGATCTAATTAACGTAATGCTGACATTTTGAGGATTTAATTAGAAATTTTAAATTTTTCGAATAAATTTAAATTCTGAATTATAATGTTAGGATTTTTTTGTATAATTAGATAATCAAATAAAAAATACTTTTTATACTATCATTCCGATAAATTCGTCCAAAAATTGACGGGTCTGACGTCATCGCCCGCCTAACTTTCATCCGAACCAAAAACAACGACCAACGACCTTTTGATTCATATAGACGAAGAGGGAAAAAAAGAAGGAAAAAGAACCTCGTCCATGGATGAAAAATAAAAATAAAAATCCAAATAAATAGACATTTTATTTTACTATAAATAGTCTGTGTATATTATCGTGAAAATCGAAGTACTGAGCTCAAGCACGGCTCCCATCTTAGTTTTTTTCTCACAAACGATATCTCTAACAACCGTGATATACAAGATTATCGATAACGAAAATGGAGCTTAAACCTGGTTTATCGGCTTTGATCACTGGCGGAGCTTCCGGGATCGGTAAAATTTTCGTAAACTCTACTTTCATTATTCAGTATCATCAATCGTTAACTGATTTATGTGATTGATTGTAAAGCAGATCGTATGAGATATGAAGTAATTCGATCAGTTGTCATTTGTTATTGATTTATTTATTTATTTTATCAAAAGTAACTTTCAAATTCCGGAAGCTTAGCCATTTTTTTGTTGCAGGTAAAGCATTGGGATTAGCTTTAGCAGGGAAAGGGATATTTGTGACAGTTGTGGATTTCGCTGAAGAAAAAGGAAATGAAGTTGCTTCTTTAGTTGAGAAAGAGAATTCCAAGTTCCATGAAAATTTGAAGTTTCCGTCTGCCATTTTCGTCAAATGCGACGTTACTAATCCAAGTAAATCCGTTTTGATCTTTGTTTATCACGTGATCGATCGTTTTCTTCAAAGAATTCAAATTGGATATTTATTTGAATATACACTTGATTTTGATTTTTGCAAAGATCGGTGATGTATAACTTTAGCATTTGAGAAACTGATCCAAAGTAATATGGAGTAACTTGATTATTGTTTATTATTTGCTGATCATTTTCTTTCAAAATATTCATACCTGACATATTTGAATATATACTCATTTGATTTTGGTTTCGTGAATAGGAGATATAAATTTAGCTTTCGAGAAGCATCTGGCGACATATGGAGGATTGGATATTTGTATTAACAGTGCCGGCATCGGTAGCCCAGTACTATTTAGTGAGGATCAAACTGATGGGAATACGACATGGAGGCGCACCATTGATATCAACCTGGTTGCAGTTATTGATTGTACTCACCATGCAGTAATGCTTCCACTTTGACTAATTTTCCTGCAATGTTGAATTAACGAGAATCCTAGTTTGCAGCAATTGTTGATTGTTTGTGAGCTTAATTAACAGATTAAAACTATGCAAGCTCTGCGAAAGCCAGGTGTGATAATTAATTTGGGATCCTCAGCTGGTCTTTACCCACTGTCATTGGATCCCGTCTACTCTGGCTCAAAAGGTTTGCATTTATTTATTTATTGCCTCTGTCCCACTGTATTCATTGGTTTTTATTCAAAATTCTTTATGTCAGTCATTTATCTAATAAGATGTGAACCGCTTTTAATACTTGGTTTAAAATTCAATTATTTGTATTAAGCTTAAGTTTGAATTTAGATTTTTAAATATTACTTAAATATAAGAAATGATATATTAGTCTGACAAGTTAATGGATTGGTCTTGTTCAATAGCTAGTGTTTGACTCTACATATTGAATTGTTTTTCTAAAGTCGAATATGAGTAGTTTACGAATACAATGTACTACTATTATTTACACCCTTCGTTGTTATAATTTTTTCTTAGCAAAAAATTTAGTGGCTTGAGGATAAAGAAAGACTACATATTAAGGGATTCAAACACAAACTCCTTAGATACCGGTTCGTAAACATAACTTTATCAAACCAACCGAACAGAATTTTGAGTTCACCACCTATTCAAATATTCTCAGATTACTTGTAGAGATTAGAGTGAGGAAGGGAAAATGAATATACTAGTAATGAGTTGGTCTTAATAAAGATCATGCAAAAGGAATCTGTGTATAATTCTTTCAGGTAATACATTTATGTAATTTTACGATTTGCTTAAGCTATTTGTTTTTCAGGAGGTGTTGTCTTGTTTACTAGATCACTAACTCCTTACAAACGTCAAGGAATACGTGTCAATGTTCTTTGTCCTGAGGTAAAATCTTAGTTAATTTGAAGAATCTTGGATGTTCAGCATTAACCTATTGAAAATTGTTCCTCTTTTATAATTTGACTTTGAACTTGGACGTAGTTTGTTCGAACAGCGATGGGAGAAAAAGTGGAACCCAATTTTGTTTCTTTAATGGGAGGTTTTATTCCAATGGAAATGGTGGTGAAAGGTATATAGAATATATTTGTATTTTGTTATCTACCTGATTATCTTAAAGTAGATCTATTTAAGGGTTGAATTTGTAAAAGGTAGTTTCTACTTAGGTTTATTCTATTCGACATTAATTATTATTTAAAAATAAATACTATTTGAAATTAATTATTAAAACATATAAATTTAAGTATATTTTAGTATTTTATTATTTATAAAATAATGAAATGGACTTTTAAACTTAATCGGAACCAGGCTTAGTAACGAATTCTTAAAGAATTTGAGTTATCAGCACCTCTACTTCAAAGGCAGTTTTAGGATTTATATAATTTTTTGTATAATTATAATATATTTTCAATTTTCAATTTTCATATCATACATATAATATATTTATATTAATTTTAATTACTTAATTATTTAAATGTTATATAGATTTTATGATTTTTGCATCAAATCACTTTTATATGCACTTGTGCATATTTCTAGGTGCTTTCGAGCTGATAACGGATGAAAGCAGAGCTGGTTCTTGCCTATGGATTTCAAACCGCAGAGGATTGAAGTATTGGCCCATTGCAACTGGAAAAGCAAAATACTCTGTGCGTTTCTCCTCAAGTTCCAGTAACAACAAAATCCCGTTCCTAGCTCCTTTAACTTCCCAACTTCCTCAGAATTTTAAGAAACTGTACGTAAAAAGTGTCAAAATTCCTTATCTTTTAGTATTTTGAGTAAAATTATTTGAGGAATTATTGTGATAGTATGTTGAGGTCACCATCATAAACATAGATTGAGTTCTTGCATGGTTGCAGAAAGCTATACCCATATCTGATATATCCATATCCATACTCTCCCTGGATTGGAGTAACGAAGCTGATTAAGACATTTCATAACCATCATATAAGATAGGGTGTGATTGGTGTAGTAAAGATGCTGACCAGAGCGTTTTTGCTCTTCCTCAGTGTTGTGCATACCTTGGGTCATCATTTCCGTGATGCAACCCATGTAATAAGTTCACCATTGAAACTACCTCTTGAATCAGACCAAGTTCTTCTGAAAGTCATCTATGCTGGAGTAAACGCTGCTGATGTAAGTATTATTTTTATACTTTTCATTTATGATTCATTTGATTTTCCATTTTCTGTAATTAAATTCTTCTATGCACTCAACTTTCTTGATATATAAATTATATACAATCTACTTAGTTTAATAACATGTTTTACACAGGTGAACTTTAGCTCAGGTCTGTATTTTCAAGGAAACATGAAAAACTTCGGTTCCCTTCTTCCAGCTGATACTGGTTTTGAGGTGCAGTAACAAAATATTATAACTAAATACCATTAGGCATGATATTGATTTGGATATTTGCTTCGTAATATCGAATCTGACTTTATTAACATTATAAAAATCTGCATTACAGGCAGTGGGAGTAATTGCTGCCGTTGGAGATTCAGTAAGAGACATAAAAGTTGGAACTCCTGCAGCAGTCCTGGGTTTTGGATATGCTGAATTCATAAAGGTATAACATCAATTTTATTTTATATGTTTAAAAAGATCTTGTTTCTTCATCTATTTCAATCTTTTTGTTCCAATATTTAAATTGTTAAATAATTATTGGATATTGAAACTAAATACAGGTTCCTTCAAACCACATACTTCCCATTCCAAGACCTGATCCAGAAGTTGTTGCTCTGCTTACTTCTGGTTTAACAGCATCCATCGCTTTGGAAGAGGTACATTTTTATTTGTTTTATTTCTTATTTAGATGTAAACTTTAACATTCTCCCAATATACGTGGCCCGATCTTTTGGTTTTCTTAAATGAATAATATCTATCATTCATATCCTATGAACACTGGACATAATTCTACAAAAATCAATCTATGGAAAATACTTGAAAAAGATATGAATACACACCCAAATCTAAATAGCATAGCTCTCAAACCATTTCACTCGCCAACTTTTTGTGGCCATAGTCTCCTTTGTTCTTTGTTTTTTTGTAAATGTACATTGTAGCTCTCTATTCAGTCCTCTTCTAATTATTTTTGATCTATTTTTTCATCTTATAGGTTGGTCAGATGAAATCCGGAAAGGTTGTCCTTGTAACTGCTGCTGCTGGAGGGACTGGGCAATTTGCAGTCCAGGTTTGTGTTAAACAGAGTTGATAATTTGTAATACCAAGTTGCCAACATTACAAAAAAAATATAATTATTTACAACACAACATGCATGTTATTAATGCAAAAATGTATCAAAACTTTTATAAACGCAAATTATTAACATATCAAAATTTGAATAGATATATAATGTCTTAAACACAACATGAATATGTTTTTCCCGTATTGTATGTCTAATAAAATCCAGCATATATTCATATATTTGAGAAAAGAAATTAGAAAAGACTCCAAGTAGTAATATGTTAATCCATCCTGATCTTAGAAAAGAATGAGCACACTCATTGTTAATCCATGTAATATGTTAATCCATAGTCAATTTTCATTCGGATTCGAAGTAATAATATGTTAATCCATCCTGATCTTAGTTTTATACATATTGAATTAACGATATTTCATTTATTTTCCAAAACATCTTCAAAGTTTATTTTAGATGACCATCATATTTTACATCTTCAAAGATATACTTAATGTTATTTCATGATTGTATGTATTTACTTCATGGCTTCAACACGATTTTGCCCCTTAAATGTTTCTTTTTTGTATACTTTTATCCCCATCTTATAATCAGAACGACATTTGCAGCTTTCAAAACTGGCGGGAAATAAAGTTGTTGCGACATGTGGAGGAAATGAAAAGGCAAGGCTTTTAAAAGAATTGGGGGTTGATCGAGTCATAGACTATAATACTGAAGATGTCAAAACTGTATGTATCTGAAATTCTTTTTTTCAATTGTTCTGCTTTTTTTTCATGTAGACACATACTTGATACTTGTATCCAACACTCACAACCGAAACGACTAACATAAATTTGAACTCTCAATTAATATGGATTTTAGTCTATTTAATCTACTTTGCTAGTTTTTAAACTGTTGCATCCTTTTTAATCAGCATCCATAGCCTAACTTCTGTGATTAATCTCGATGACCCTTAGGTGTCTAAAGATCTTAGTCGGCATCATTTTATCATCATCCATGCCATGTCCCATCTTCTGAAACTGATCCCACCACATTTTGCATAACTAAGATCTTGACTGCCATCGGATTAAAGGCTTTCTAATGCTGTCATTTGATAATTTCTGCATTTGGTTTGTTTCATGGAAGGAACATCTTACTTTGTAGTCTTCCAGGCTCTCAAGGAGTTTCCTAAAGGACTCGACATTGTTTACGAATGTGTTGGTGGTAACATTTTTGATTTGTGCCTTAATGCTTTGGGTATCCGTGGACGACTCATTGTGATAGGAATGATCTCTCAGGTTGGTTTTGTTTACCATAACTTTTAGTTTTTAACGATTGTCCTGAGTTTGATCTTACACTTTATTAGCTCAGATTTGACTCTTTTGGGTCATTTTTAAGTTCGTATATTTGATCATTTGAACTCCTCAACTTTGCCTAAGAGACCTAAGGTTTCATCCCGCTTGACCAACTGGTAGTTGATATACATGTATTGAATATGTTCCCATATCTGGCATTATCCAAGAAACATAGGCTATTGTAGGTTGTTAGAGAATGATCAAAGCTATATGTTGCCAAATCCCAATCTTACATGAGATTGTTGTTAGTGAGTTGTTAATTGCTGAAATAAACCGGTCATTCTCCATATTCTCAACTTTTATATACTTGTGATGTCGTACTTCTTATTTACAGTATCAAGGGAAGCATGGATGGATGCCATTGAATTACCCTGGACTTGTTGAGAAGCTTTTGGTCAAAAGCCAAACTGTGGTATGTAGTCAGTAAAATTTGTTTCAGTGTTTTTTCGTTCTTTCTTAAAAGTATCCATATCCGACGTTCGTATCCAGCATATTATAACTGACTACAAGTAGATTTATGACAACTCGTTGAGCGAATTTGTTTCCTTGTTTTCCGGTGACCATGAATTATGTGGTTTCGCTTCTACCATATATATTTATGCTGTCTTCTTTGCACTTGGCATTTGAAGTCTTGTGATTTGATTTGTATTGAAAGTTGCTTTTGTTTTCAGGCTGGCTTTGTCCTGTTTCAGTATAGCCATTTCTGGAAAGAACACCTGATTAGACTCTTTCATCTTTATTCTTCAGGAAAGCTTAAGGTAATTCATGTATATCAAACTCGAACACTCTGTTAGCATCGCGTTTGCAGTGAATTCGATTCTAACAGCAATGTCATAGGAAGCCTGAGTTTTCTCCCTTTCCTAACAAGCTGTAACTTGATTCTAACAGGTTGTAATAGACCCGAAAAAATTTTCGGGTTTGGATACAGTAGCGGATGCTGTTGAGCATTTGCACTCGGGCAAAAGTACTGGCAAGGTGAGCACAAATTTTCGATTTCAAGCAAAACCAAATTAGGCCTCCGATGTGTTTTATATTACTATCAAATTATATAGGTTGTCATTTGCATCGATCCGAGCTTCGAACATCAAATGGCTAAGTTATGATTCGAAGCCGATGAGATCATTGTTTATCCCCTCCCAGATATGGTGTTAGACTAACAAATTGCTCTTTGCTTCTCGTCTCTTTAATGGTTGGTTCGAATAAAGAAGTATAAGATGGAATTGAAATGCTGCCCTTTTTGTAGTGTATCAGACAAATTCTAAGAAAAATGTAGTGCTAAATGATACCATGTATCGGATAGTATAGATAGGAAAACAATGAAGGGAACCGAACCCAATACTACTGTTGTTTAGTTACAAGTTGTATGTTTTTAACCAACATACGACAGAGCTGAATTGCTTGATATGATTCCCTTTCTCAATGGCAATTCAAAAGCCTATACAACAAACAACTAACGATTCAATCAATCAATTCTATGATTCCCTGCAATCATCAAAAGAAAACCTTTTTAAGATTCTGAAATTTGCAACCTCTAATAACCTAAAAAAAAAACCGTGTACTTATGCAAATACATACATAGAACATGTATACGTGTATATATGTACACGCACAGAATGTATGGAGGATGAAGCTTATGTATAGGAGGAAGAGAGTCGTTCTCTGTTTGGGGGAGATAGCCATGGCAATCACTGTGATTCTTTAGTGCTAGTTTTTGAAAATTTCGGGTGAGGTGTGTTTTTAATTCAGTTGTCAGATTCCAGCAATAAATTTAAGTTGGTATGTAAACTCAACGTTAAAGGAACCGATTCGAAGTTGAATCTGGGCTGCTCCGATTCTCGATTAAACCATCTTTTTTAACTAGATTGGTTTTAGAAATAATCAAAATTCATGTAAACATTGAATATCAAAATGCCTTTCAAAAAAAATATATATATATATAAGCCAAAAAAAGAAAAAAGAAAAAAGAAAAAAAAAAGATAGCATCTTCGTATATATAGTATTCACATCTTAGAATTCCGAAACTCAAGCACAGTTGACGACCCTTTTTTGTACATATAATACATATATACAGACCTATACATATATTCTCATATACGATATAGTAAATATGGTCCGTACACTACCTGTACACTTTTTGCCAGAGGATTATATCACAAAGAGAAGAATAGGCAACCAACACAATTTTCTGCAAAAACGTCCTTGGACCTCGTTTCCGGTACTCAAGTAGAGAAATCACGAGTCGTTCAACGTTAAGTGGTGGGTTTGTTTTGCTTGTAATATGTCTTGATAGCATTTCCGAACGAACATTCTATGGTAATGACTCATTGGGAGCATTATAATCTTGAACGACGATTGCACTTGATACCAAGGAAATGTGAATGCCTCCGAGCACATGCAAATGGCTGTCCCTTACCAGAACCCAAAAATCTAACATCCCAACCTTCAATATTCTTAGGAACACAAGCGTCAAAGAGAATTCGACCGAGGACACTATGAGCATTGAGACCCGGCTGTACAGGTACAGAGATCGGTTGATCGCTTTGTTCATCCTCTAAAGATCCAGACTCTTTACTATTGTGATATTTGGCTGAACTTGGCAAGAAAAAGTGGTCACTAGGTCCAAGGGCAACTCTCCTAAAGCTTTGGTTCGAGTTAACTGCTGCTTTCTGCAGGCCATAGATTAACTCAGAGATCTCATCATGCATACAATTCATTTCTCCAAGTTTCCAGATCCTATGAGAATAAACCGAAGTTGCCTTCTGAAGGAAACTGGCCACAGCAGCCCTGTATTGGATAGGATAATGCTTGTAGTGTTCTGAAATATAGCAAAGAATGACCTTAGCTCAGCTGTCAAACAAACACACAACTGAACATATTAATTTATTAAAGGTACAAAACACAGTCAGTTTCGAGCAAGAACTCGGGCATTCATAAATCTAGAAAGATAACATAAAATGAGTTATTTATATATAAATCAGCTGACTATGCCCTTACTTCCTTATTAATCGTATATGCCCTTCCTTATTAATCGTATATAAGATGTTAAAGTCTCCAATTTTCTCTTGCCAATGCCCTTTATACGGGGTTGACATGCATAAACTTAGCATGGCAAACCCCTAACCAGGAGCATTGACGGTAAAAACTGAAAATACTCTGGATATCTATACATGGTAAATTATATTTACTTAACGGAAGTTACAATACTTGGTAGTAATAACAAAGCAGAGATGGTTATAGACCAACCTAGATGAGGAGAGCCATTCCACTTTACAATCTCAATATCCGCCCCAAGATTCTCTAAGCTTTGAGCGAAATAGCATATAACCGGATATGGTGCAAGGTCATCTTTCTCCGAGCATAAAATGAGATATGGAGCATCTAAGTCCTACAAATGAGGACTGAGAGAAATTAGCTGTAGGAAGCAGAAGAAAACAACAAGCTAACAGGGATTAATAAACTTACAGCAGAGGAGTAAAGGGTCTGCCAATACTCGGCACGCTGAGACTCAAACCCAGTTAGATAAAGGCCATCGAGACCAGAAGCAACGCCTTTAACGATCCAAGAAACAAGTTTTGATGGTCCAGGTATTTTCCGTATGGATGGATGTAAAGCAAATTGGGCATTCAGATCACTTGCAAAATCTACTGGACCAGAATCATAGATTTGTCCACAAACACAATTTCGAATCAACTGCCTTTCCTTTATAAAATGAAGACCATTAGCAACGAAACTTCAGTTAGGTCTATGAATATTAGAGATCTTATAAAGGGATTATAAGTAAACCAATACGGGAAACTAATAGAGAAAGAAAGGATACCAGATTAATCCGACCTTCACCTGCTTCTTGAATAATCTATACATTAAACATAGCAAAGTTATTTCATTTGCAAAATGAAAAAGAAAAAATGTGTATTTACATGTTTGGAGTTGGAGTTATATCGAAAGTTCTGATACCTGAAAAACCTTGTACATACAAGCTTTGGTACTAACCGAGAAAGTGACAAAGACCACTGGACAAGTTCTAATCTTTAGTTCCTGCAAACCAAAAACCAAAGGCAACTTTATGTTTTTAGAAAAAAATTAAGACATCATTAAGCGATAATAAACCTTAATGAAACTGACCTCAAGAAGCTCATTTAGAACAACAAATGCCAAAGACATAGCCCTCTCAGGATAATATCTGAACCGAAGAACATATCATGAAACTTTTCAGTAGATTAAAAGAAAACAAGGAGAGAATTTTGCTGAAATTGTAGTAAAGGAATACTAAATCAAAGATCCTAAAATTTGACAAGTACAAAGCAAAGCTATGCTGCCCAACTTTTCATTTTTGTTAAGTTACTCATGTCTTAAACTCATGGCCGACACATGCATATAGAGATATAACCTCCAAGGATCCTCCAAATAACATGGGAAAACATCAAAATTTTGGACAAACCGTGACAGAAACATACCTGTATTTGACACTCGTATGTGAAATAAAAGTTCAAAAGAACTAAAATTCTACTATGTATGAACCCTACAAATAACTTATACAGACCAAAACTACCAGTCTTCACACAAGCTACATCTCCTATGTGAACTACAAAAGCCAACAACTCATTCGTTCATATCACTAGTGAACATTCAATTTAGAATATAGCCCCAACTCCACGTTCAAACCAAACAACTTATTGCTTATGCCCTAATTATTTCCCCCCATTCTATCTACCCATCCTCATCATTAACAATTAAGTAAGACTGCAAAATTTACTATCCTAAAATAGACCCATTCCATTACCCCCGACTAATTTTCATAGAATCTGATCAGATATGATAACCTAATTGACATGGCTTTACTAAATTATTTAATGTTTTCCACACATTTGGAAGGTAATATCGCTTTTTATGTCCAAGTATGTATCGGACATAAGTTAGGGAAATTAAGAATCCTCAATCCAATTACCACAGTCATTAGCAAGAAAAGTATAAATAACTCTAATTAAACTGACTATCAAAACTTAATAGAAGCACAAGCTCAACTAGAAACACCCATTTCATGAGAAACCTGGACCAAAGAACCACCAAAAGAAATCTGAAGTTTTTACCCTAAATGACGAAATTTAGGAACTTACAGGTTTATGTTTTCCACTGTAACTTACTTTCTAAGTAACCAACCAAAAACTAATATATATATCCGTAAAAATAATTAAAGGAACTTACAGGTTGAGAAAATCAGCACGGGCAACGAGGGAATTCCAGCCGAGAAACGAATAAAAATCAAGGTAACTTTGAAGGTGTTTCTCGTGAATCGAAACCCAAGCAAAAACCACAACTATTCCTTTCACTCCTATACCCTCTGCTGCCTCTTTTCTTCCCCAATACGCAGTTCCACCACCGTTCATCGTCATCTTCAACGCTTGTTTTTCGATTCAAATTCCCAGGGTTTATCTTTGTCGAATCCAACGATTTTTTCAGGGAAGTCAAACAAGAGTTTTGGTGGATGAACTTTGGTTGGGTTTTTCTTTTCTTTTTAAGATTTGGAGTCGATAATATTGGTTGAGGAGGAGCTGGTGGCAGTGATGTAATGATGCCATTTTCTGAATCTATTTTTGGGTAAACTACATCATCGGTCCAAGCTATTATATTTCTTTTATTTTGATCGTCGAATTATATTTTTATAAATTTAATTACCAGTATTATATTTTTATTTTAATCATTAAATTTTAATTTTTAAATATTAGACCAATACCTAAGTTAAGGCCGACACTTGGCCATGAGAATAAATCCTATATCAATATAATATCGACAATAATATATTCAAGTTAAATTGCAATTGAAATTAATTATTAAAAAAATATTATTGAGTGAATTTAGTGGTTAAAGGGGGTATTATTTTTATTTTTGAGTTCAAGCAATTGCGTATGTAACGTGTATGTTTTGTCAACATTTAAGAAAGATTATGAACATATACTAACTTATAATTATCACAGACAATTCAAAAGAATTATTAAGAAAATATGATAGAACTTAAAGGAATCAAATATGAGACTCGGGATATCTTAACATTTAATTGCTGGTCCAAGCTATGTAATTATTATATATGTTGAAATGTCAAAGCTTGGAAAATTGGTTCAAGTTAGGAACCTAATATTGCAATGTTAAAATTAGGTGCAACAATGTCAAAATTAGGTGCAATAATGTTTGAAAATTAAATAGGTAAATTATAAACTTTAGTCACTAAACTTTAGTCACTAAACTTTAGGATATTTATAAGATTGGTCCTTAAGTTTCAACTATAAATACCCTAGCTCATTTAGCTTCAAAACCATCCCAAAGCATTCTAGCTTTCTTCCAATACTAGAGAGAATTTAGAGAGTTTCTTGAGAGTTGTTTTCTCCTTTTTATCAAGAGAGAATTATCATTGTTTTCTCCTTGGTAGATCGAGAGAGGTTGTAATTCCTATTTTCTCATAGTGAAATTCTTCTACCGTTGCCCGTGGTTTTTACCCTATATAATTTAGGGGTTTTCCACGTAAATTTTGTGTCTCTTTTTATCTTCATTTTTATTTTCTCAAATTATCAGTTGCGATTTTGCTCTATTTGATAGCCGTCTTCCGCAACAATTGGTATCAGAGCTAGATTAAAGTATGTAATATCTGCTTATTGTCTTTGTGGTTGCCACCAAAAGGTGGATCCTCTAACATAAGAAAGTAAGAAGGTATTACCCATTCTTTGAAGGTTCCAGAGAACTATTCACGATAGTGAAATAGTGGGAGCTATCCGTAAAAGAAGCTATGGCAATGAAATTTGATATTGAAAAATTCAATGGGACAAATTTCTCATTGTGGAAATTGAAGATGAAGGCCATCATGAGAAAAGACGGTTGTCTAGCATCTATCAGCGAAAGGCTAGTAGATTTCACAGACGACAACAAATGGATCGAAATGGACGGAAATGCTATGGCAAACTTTCATCTAGCATTAGCAGATGAAGTATTGTCAAGCATCGAGGAGAAGAAGACAGCTAAGGAGATATGGGATCATCTCATCAAATTGTACGAGGCCACATCGCTGCACAATAAAATTTTCCTTAAGAGGAAATTGTACACTCTCCGTATGCCAGAATCTACTTCAGTGACGGAGCACTTAAATACACTGAATACTTTATTTTCTCAGCTTACATCCTTAAGCTGTAAAATAAGAGAACAAGAACGTGCTGAACTTCTACTTCAAAGTCTACCAGATTCGTATGATCAACTCATCATCAACTTGACAAACAGTAATGTCACTAGTCTAGTCTTTGATGATGTTGCAGTTGCTGTTCTACAAGAAGAAAATTGGCGCAAGAACAAGGAAGACAGACAAGTAAATCTGCAACAAGCAGAAGCGTTGACAACGATGAAAACGATGAGAGGGAGATCAACAGAACGTAGCCAAAGCAGCAGTCACAAACATGGTAGATCGAAGTCGAGGAGCAAGAAGAATTTAAAGTGTTACAACTGTGGAAAGAAGGGTCATTTGAAGAAGGATTGTTGGAGTCTAAATAAAAACTCCAATCCACAAGGCAATACCGCAAACACTTCAGATGATGGAGATGCTCTATGCTGTGAAGCGTCAACCACCGTGGAAGGAAGAAAACGATTTGCAGATATATGGCTCATTGATTCGGTAGCAACATATCACATGCCCTCAAGAAGAGAATGGTTCCATCATTATGAACCTGTCTCATGAGGATCTATGTATAGTTGCAATGATCATGCCTTAGAGATCGTTGGCGTGGGAATCATCAAATTGAATATGTATGACGGAACAATTAAAGTTGTTCGAGATGTGCGGCACGTGAAAGGCCTGAAGAAAAATTTATTATCCTACGGATTGTTGGATAATAATGCAAGCAAGATTGAAACACGGAAAAGAATCATGAAAGTGTTCCGTGGAGCGCTTGTGGTACTGAAAGGCGAAAAAATAGCTGCAAACTTATACATGCTGAAGGGAGAGACTTTGGTAGAAGTAGAAGCAGAAGCCTCTGTTGCCTCATGTAGTTCAGATTCGGCAATGCTATGGCATCAGAAACTTGGACACATGTCAGAACAAGGAATGAAAGTCCTTGTAGAGCAAAAGCTACTTCCAGGCTTAACAAAGGTATCACTTCCTTTGTGTGAGCATTGCATAACAAGTAAGCAACACTGGTTGAAATTCAACACATCAAATTCTAGAGGCAAAAGTGTTCTAGAATTGGTTCACTCTGACGTATGGCAAGCACCAGTAACGTCCCTAGGTGGAGCAAAATACTTTGTCTCATTTATTGATGACTAATCCAGGAGATGTTGGGTGCACCCTATTAAGAAGAAGTCAGACGTGTTTTTAACTTTCAAAAACTTCAAAGCGCGGGTGGAACTTGATTTTGGAAATAAGATCAAGTGTTTCAGAACAGATAATGGAGGATAATACACAAGCGAAGAATTTGATGACTTTTGCAGGAAAGAAGGCATCAAAAGACAGTTCACAGTGGCGAACACTCCTCAACAAAATGGAGTGGCAGAGCGGATGAACAGAACCTTGTTAGAAAGAACAAGAGCAATGTTGAGGGACGCAGGCCTAGAAAAATTATTCTGGGCAGAAGCAGTCAATACCGTCTGTTATTTGGTGAATCGAGCTCCATCAACTGCAATAGAGCTGAAGACACCAATGGAGATGTGAACTGGTAAACCAGTTGATTATTCAAACCTCCATGTATTTGGAAGTATTGTGTACGTGATGTACAACGCCCAAGAAATTTCAAAGCTGGATCCAAAATCTAGGAAATGCAAATTCTTGGGGTATGCTGATGGAGTAAAGGGGTATCGCTTGTGGGATCCCACTGCCCGCAAAGTGATCATTAGCAGGGATGTTATCTTTGTAGAATATAAACTACAAAGAAAAGAAGACGATGATAGCGCTGAAAAGTTAGAGACTACTCAGATACATGTGGAAAAAGAGTTTGAAGAATGAGATTCTTCTGAAGCAGAACCAGCACATGATGAACAAGAACCAGAGAGTTCTGAAGCTCCAACAACTCGTCAATCAGATCGTATGAGAATACATCCCAATTGGCACTCAGATTATGTTATAGAAGGTAATATTGCATACTGTCTTTTAACAGAGGACGGTGAGCCATCAACATACCAGGAGGCAATAAACAGCTCAGATGCTTCACTGTGGATAATGGCGATGCAAGAAGGAATCGAAGCCCTTCATAAAAATAATACATGGGACCTTGTGCCACTACCACAAGGAATGAAGCCAATTGGTAACAAATGGGTTTTCAAAATCAAGCGAAATAGTGACGATCAAGTGGAGAGGTATCGTGCAAGACTGGTGGTCAAAGGATATGCTCAGAAAGAAGGTATTGATTTCAATGAAAATTGTTCTCCTGTGGTTCGACTAACAACAGTTCGAGTAGTCTTGGCAATGTGTGCTACATTGAATTTACATCTGGAACAGCTAGATGTTAAAACAACTTTTCTTCATGGAAATCTTGAATAAGATATTTATATGCTCCAGCCTGAATGTTTTGAAGAAGAAGAAAATAAGAACTTGGTTTGCAGGTTGAACAAATATCTGTACGGTCTAAAGCAGGCGCCGAGGTGTTGGTATAAGAGATTTGATTCCTTCATTATGTGCCTTGGATACAACAGACTTAATGCAGACCCTTGTGTTTATTTCAAGAGGTCTGGTGATAATGATTTTGTTATTTTGCTGTTGTATGTGGATGACATGTTGGTTGCAGGACCCAACAAAGATCATATTGAAGAATTGAATGTACAACTGGCTTGGGAATTTGAAATGGAGGACTTGGGATCAGCAAACAAGATTCTAGGGATGCAAATTCACCGAGACAGAAGTAATAGGAAGATTTGGCTTTTACAAAAGAATTACTTGAAGAAGATCTTGTCACGATTCAACATACAAGATTGTAAGCCAATTTCTACCCCTCTTCCTATTAACTTCAAATTATCCTCCAGTATGAGTCCTAGCAGTAAAGAAGAGAGGATGGAGATATCTCGAGTACCGTATGCATCAGCAGTGGGAAGTTTGATGTTCGCTATGATATGCACAAGACCAGACATTGCACAAGCAGTGGGAGTGGTTAGTCGGTACATGGCGAATCCAGGCAAAGAGCATTGGAATACAGTAAAGAGGATCCTAAGATACATCAAAGAGACCTCAAATATTGCATTATGTTACAGAGGATCAAACTTACTAATTAATGGGTATGTAGATTCTGACTATGCAGGGGATTTGGATAAAAGCAAATCTACTACAGGATATGTGTTCAAAGTTGCTGGTGGAGCTGTAAGCTGGGTTTCAAAATTGCAGTCAGTTGTGGCTACGTCCACAACAGAGGCAGAATATGTAGCAGCTACACAAGCCAGTAAAGAATCAATTTGGTTGAAGATGATATTGGAGAAGCTTGGGCACAATCAAGAGTATGTCTCTCTGTTTTGTGACAGTCAAAGCGCCTTGCATCTAGCAAGGAATCCAACATTTCATTCAATGACTAAGCACATACGAGTTCAGTACCATTTCATTCGTGAAAAGGTGGAAGAAGGAACGGTAGATATACAGAAGATCCATACCAAAGACAACATAGCAGATTTCATGACGAAGGCGATCGACGCTGATAAATTTACCTGGTGTCGATCCTCTTGTGGCCTGTCAGATACGTAAGCAACATGATGGTACAAGGTAGAAAGAATGGTGTTAAGATATGATTGTTCCAATCAAATCTTCAAGTGGGAGATTGTTGAAATGTCAAAGCTTGGAAAATTTGTTCAAGTTAGGCACCTAATATTGCAATGTCAAAATTAGGTGCAACAATGTCAAAATTAGGTGCAATAATGTTTGAAAATTAAATGGGTAAATTATAAACTTTAGTCACTAAACTTTAGGGTATTTATAAGATTAGTCCTTAAGTTTCAACTATAAATACCCTAGCTCATTTAGCTTCAAAACCATCCCAAAGCATTATAGCTTTCTTCAAATACTAGAGAGAATTTAGAGAGTTTCTTGAGAGTTGTTTTCTCCTTTTTATCAAGAGAGAATTATCATTGTTTTCTCCTTGGTAGATCGAGAGAGGTTGTAATTTCTATTTTCTCATAGTGAAATTCTTCTACCGTTGCCCGTGGTTTTTACCCTATATAATTTAGGGGTTTTCCACGTAAATTTTGTGTCTCTTTTTATCTTCATTTTTATTTTCTCAAATTATCAGTTGCGATTTTGCTCTATCCGATAGCCGTCTTCCGCAACAATATAGTTGATAAAAATAATATTTAGATGATGATACATGTCACCATCTTATTGGATGATTAAACTTATAAATTTATTATAAATTAAGTTTAAATTGATATAATATATAAATTTTAAAGTACCAACTCTATCATCATTTTCGTTTTTGAATTTAAAAATCTACGACTAAAAACATTAATATTTGAATCAGTAATGATGTAATATCTTATATTTTTTAAATTGTGCATCGATTTTCATTACATCAAAGGACTTCGTTTTGCAAAACGAAACACATTCAATATAAAATGATAGATTCTAACCTTTTATTTTCATTTAGAAGCGACGTTGGGTCTTTCAAAAAGAAGAAGAAGAAGCAACGTTGGGAGCTGCCAGGGCCAGCCACTGCTCTCACTGCAACAGATGTGAAGGCGCACTAGATCCAAAGCAATCAGTCACTGTCCATGTTATCAAACCAAGACCGTCGCATTGCACGTGCAGTTTATATTATATTAAAATATACACACATGTTTAGTATACATAAATAATGATTGTAGCATTATAGTGTCCATTGTCACCCTAAGAACACATCAAGGAGTTGTTTTATTGGGTAATACGATGGTTGAGCAACACAAAATTAGCAGGCCAAAACCCGGTCACTGGTATGAGCAACCTTCAATGCTTATGCTTCTTGTCCCCGTCTAATAAAAATTCAATTAGGGTTTGGAAAAACAAGATCCGATCTAATTTAAACTCCTTGGCCAAGAAAAGCATCAAATTTATTTACGCTGAAAAAAAGGAAACCAAGCATTAGTCCCATATGTGAAGTGGACCCTGCGTTTCGTTTGTTTTGCTGCCGTACCGCTGCTCTGCGGACTGCCATTCTTTTGTTTCTGCCAAGCACTTGGATGGCGATGGCTCGCTCAGCTCTCTCACCACCAATGCACACACACAATGCTCTGTGCCTATGTAAGTTTTTTTTTTTTAACGGGTATTAGTAGGGGTGTACAAATCCCGGTACCCGATTTTTATTTTTTTTCATTTTCAAATTATTAATTTAAAAAAAATATACACAAATTTAAATGTTTAAAACTTAAAATTACATACTTCAACATCCGAACATAAAATTTAAAAGTTCAAAATACAAAATCTAATAATCTATTAAATAAATAATCTATTATATATATAAATATAAAATAAAAAAAATAAAAACTAACCGGGTACCTGAAAAATCTCAATTTTGTGACCCGGGCCCGACCCAAGAAATGTCGGGCTAGGTACCCGACCTGGTCGGGTAATTTTTTTAGAAAATTACCCGGTTTTTTAAAGTTCAGATTGACGGGTCGAGTCAAACGGATCGGATATTTTTGCACACTCCTAAGTATCACTGCTTACCCTCTTATAAAGTTGCCCTTCTCAACTCTCAAATCATGAAAGAAATGGAAACAATGCTTGTTTATCGTCTACTTCAAATTATAACAAATATATGAATTTTATTAAAATTTTATGTTGAATTTAGTTTTATTTTAAGATTTAATTTGGAATAAAGTTCAAACACCTTATCTTCATTCCATTAAATTTGATAATATGGTAAAAGAAACTTGCATTGATCAACTCAAATACTTAAATTTAACTAAAACTCCATAGCTTAAAACTTTTGGAATACTATATTTTCCTATTGTCAACTGTCAGGTGCCATATCTCCGTTCTACCTCATGTAACTTTAACCTATCTCACTTTCAGTGCTTTAACCGAATCCACTGGTACCGACCGTCCAGAGGTACATCCTTCACTATATCATAATTGTACCTGTAATTAAAAAAAAAGTTAAAAATAAAATCGGAGGGAATATAACGAATTGAAAAGTTTGTTAGTTAGTCAGAGATTTGGGGGGTTTTTCTTGATTCTGCTACTGCCATAATGCGCCATTTTGGTGGTACGGCTTATCCTACGCACTAAAGAAGAATGAAAAATTGATGAGAGAAACAAACACTTGCTTTTCTGCGAATCGGACTTGCTCGTACTTTTCAGCTACGGCGAAGAAATCGTCGATCTCCGCTTGTGACGGTGGTTTATCTGGTGACGGTGACTTTTTTCTACGTGGCGATGCCGTTTCCTCTGTGTCTCCAATGAGCTCCACTGTTGGAGTTGTTTCTGCACTGAAAAAACGACACTGGAGGTTAGAAAACGGAAAGTTAAGGGAAAATATTCGTGTTGGTTGCTTTTTATTATTATTTTGAAATATATTGGTAAAACAAAATACTAGTAGTGATTGGTGAAGGAATCAGTAAAAAATTAACCTGAATTTGTTGATGTTGATGCATGTTGAGATTTCGGTTTCAAAACTCTTGGCCTGCAAAAGAACAACATTCGTGAAATGTTTCAGGTAATCAATTAATATATTTAGCAAATAGATTCATATCCTAACTCAATCGACATGGTAATGTTTTGAAGAATAAAACCGCTTTCGCATCTTCCATTTCATTTTCTCAGCAAGCAAACAGGAAAATAATTTTCGGAACTCACCTTTAGATCTACGAATCTCAAGCTACACTTGACAAAATTATCACATGACTCATTGCTAGTCGAAGACTGGTAGCCGGAGCTGAGGCTTGAACACATTTCCCCGGCTACCGATGCTCCACCGGATTTCGAGGAGGCGAACGGCTTGTTCCATGAGTTCGAAAGGAAGCGACGAGTATTTCCGAGCTCAATGTCCGGTGAAGTTAACTCCAATTCCTGCGATTCTTTAGAATCAACTGTTTTTCTTCTCTTTGACAATGAGAAGCTTGCGCTTGAAGATTCCATGTCTGCTGTTTTCTGCACTTCGTTTAGTGCTCTTCGTGCACTTTCCGCCTCTTTGCTTCGAGGGTTTTTCTTAGAGAAAAAATAACATTTTTTCATTTCTGGCTTTGTTAATTTTTGGGGTTTACAGTTTGTAGAATGGAGAGTATGTTAAAAAGAACGACCGAGTGATTGGATGATGCGCTTTGAGCCATTGATATCTTAGACGTTGATATTTGTACCTTTCATTTTGGTTCGGTGCTCGAGCTGGGCCACCTTGATTCTTTTTTTAATTTCCATTTAAAATTTGATTTTTATTTAATTTTATTCAGCTTCCATATTTGATAATGTTTTATTAGTTTTAAATGTTAAATAAATATTTATATTTGATTAAAAATAAATATTTTTCTATTTTTATTCTATAATACAAGAAGATAGTTGAAATATATGTACATGAAAGAATATTATAGTAATTATTTGGATCGAGTTAGACTTGATTTAATCACAATTCAATATTCTTTTTCACAAAATAAACCCTAAACTTGAATTAAAAAAAAACTATAAGATTGAGTCAAATCCGAACTCGTTACGTTTAGGCATTTGGGCTATCTCTAGACTCTAGTCATTAGTTATGAATGTGAAACTCGGTCAAAATATTGTTCAACAATAGAAGTATATGTTAGTGTATAGGACTGAGTGCAGCAGATGATATTGTGCTGCACTAGTCCAATCTGTTAGGAGATTATGGATTCTGTTGAAGCTGTTATATTGCTTCAGCTAGTCACATCCTTCCCCTACTCTTGTACAAATCACACGGTCCTCTGTTGAGGATATCACGAGCTTATCAATAAACCTAAAGAAAGCGTTGCCTCCCTTTCATTATCTTAACAGTATACACTACCTAATTTTAAATTAGTGATTAATAGATTTGATATTTTCACCATATAAAGTATATGATTTATTTTTAATTTTAGTTTATCTAAATTATGGTTTTTATTTTAAGTTTGGAATTATGACATTATTTTGTTAATAAATAATTTAATTAGTTTTGTGATATGAATATCTAAAACATTATCATGATAATATCAGATATATTGTTTTATAAATTTACTGCAATAGATTAGGTCAAATTTCAAATTGTAAAATGCCTATATACTCTATCGATCTATTCCAAACTCGTGAATATACCATCTCGTACGATTAAATTATTTAATAAATCGTATAAAAATAGTAATTGTATTAATGAGATAGCAATAAATAAATTAGACTACAACGTACCTGAAAATGAAACAAATAAACTAAACTACTAGAGAGATAAGGCTCAAGGATTTTATTTCTATATTTTTTTATAAAAAATTAATTTTAATTTCATGCTAATATAGAGATCAATATAAGAAGAACCTACTTAAAATATAATTTAATTTAAAATAAATCTTCATAGCAATATAGCATGACAAAAACCTATTAACCATAAGGCCTTAATCTTATAATTTATTTTGTTTAATTTTAATAAAAAAATCTATTAATATTAAATATAAATATTAAACAGAAAATTTTAAAAATAAATTGAATAAAAATATTATCAATAGGAATGATAAGTAAATAAACAAGATACCTAAAAACCCAAACAAGAGACATAGCTATTATGGTTATTTATGGGCATAGGCATATTAATGGTAAAAGCTAGTGGATGCCGTGTGGAATTGTATAATTGTGTTTGAGTAGCCAAAATAAAATAATATCTGACTTCTCATAAATATTGTTTTAACTAATATCATTAGTATGGTTATTTGTTTCAATTATTTAATATTATTTTAATTAATATTTGAAGAAAAATAACTAAAATACCAATGATGGTTCAATATTGAAAAACTAGACTGTAAATATTTACGAAATTCATAAAAACATAAATAATGTATTAAAGCATTATATCTCGATTATTTTGAAGTTAGATTAAGTCCTGTTTCAAGTGAAAAGAAAAAAAATTCAGAATTTCCTTCGGTTTTCAAATTTAAAATCCAAATATTTTTTTTAAAAATGAGTTGAATTAAATTTAATGTAAGATAATATGCATGGACTGCCCTCATACATATACTCTACCATCGGGCTTCGAGAAATCTAATTTCTGGCCCAATGAACCATTTACATATATAAAAATTGTTTAAAGACATTTATTTATCATGTATTTGATTTTTTAAGGAAATTTTTAATATGATTTTCTTGGATCGTCTAATTAAATTAGACGTGTTGAGAATAGTACAATATTTGGTTTTTGATATTGTATTTTTAAAAATTAATCACTGATATATGATCTATTGATCGACTAATCCATTTCGAGTATTGTTGAGGCAATGACAACCTCCCAATCTAATTTGATCTATTTTATTCTTTGAACAATAATTAAATGTATTTCTATACTTTATGTAGTTTAACGTTTTAAATATATATATAATCTTTACGATAAAAAGATAAAATAAGTAAAAATAAATAAATAATTAATAGGACTTCTTAAAGAAATTTCCCTACATTTTATAAAGGGCTAATTTAAGAGTGACTTGACAAAACATCAACCTTCCGCAAAGAGATAATTAAGTGCAAGGAGATTATTGTTAGTACCGTTTACCGGCGGCGCAAAGTGACGAAGACATATGTATATGGCAACTATATCTTAATTAATTCAAAGCTTTGCCTTGGACAAAATTAATGTTGTTACCGTTTTATGTGGAAATAAAATGTTAGGAGAACATTTAAAACTGGTGTAGCCTTTGAACAATCACACAATTGAAGGCTGGTTACTCACTGTCTAATGCTTCCATAAACACTACATAGTTTACTAGAGATAAAAGATAAAATTATAAAATTTTATATTGACCCTGAGAGAGAGTGTTTTCATTCTTAGATCATCAGTGTCTGTGTTTGTTTTTATGTTGATCCTCAATAACAGTTTCAAATATAAAGTTATTATGACTATCTGTAGATTGACACACTGAATATATATGATTGTCATATAGTATATTTGATATTGGCAAATTATATGAATCTATTAATTATCATATCAAAAAATTGTAACTGATTGAAAGCTATATGATTTCAAAAGCTGCTAGAGACTCTATAAACTATGAGATTTCGAAGACTTTCAATAATTCTGAATGATACATAATTATTTAAGAATAACAACGAAGATAAATCTACTGTGAACGTGAAGCAGATCTTTTGTGATGAAGATTCAAATAAGGTATAATAATTTTCTTGTAGTCAAGAAAATAATTTTTCTTATTTTTCTAAATTCATTATACAATCGATTAACGGTGTTTCTCCATCCATAGAATTATAACTTATAACTAATTCACCACCACCATCAGCTTATCAAACTACCCTAAATCGTAATCACACCGGTTGATTACCCACGTTAAATATTAAAAAGAATTAAAATCTTTTATATACACACACGATGATATGGATAGAAATCAGGAATAAAAGAATGAATACTTTGTGTATCCATCACGTATCTTACTAATGCATATGTTTTAGCAGTGTAGTGTAGCCGACCAATACTCCGTGACAGTTTAATTGTCGTGAATACCGTGCAAGGATGGTAAAACAGTAGAGTCATTGCCTGTTTTATGAGGGCTGCAGCGGCCACAGCCAACTGCCTGCTCTTTTACCGTAGAAGGCGGAGCTGCCTTTCCAACTAAAAGCTTCAACAAATCTACTAGTGTTGCATATCCAACGCTGATATTACATCGCATATAATTGAAAACAGTCCAGTTAATTAATATTAATTCGATTGGATCTTTTATTGACTAATAACTATAAACGTTCAATTAATTCGACAAATGAAAAATCGAAACATTTATCTAAAGTGGTACCAAAAGTCGAAATTAATAAGCAAGACTCATTTAAGATTTGGGTTGAAATTTGTATACCAAAAACACACATCCCAATTCCTGTCTATGTCAAGTTAAATGCAGATCTCACTTTAGGGGCCAAGGGACCCTTATGTGTCGGTGAAAGGACAAACCACTTCTTCAATGTTGTTGTCATGGTGGATATTGGACAAGGATTTTAATGTCTGTAGAAAAATATAAAGTCTGCAAAGAGATTCAGACATCGTGGGTATTTACTTGTGTTCTTAGATTACCAAGTTGCTGCAAATGACTACAAATTGGGATTGCCTGTACTACACTTTGTTGAAATGGAGGCCTCAAATGGGTTCGTGTAGAACTGGAATTCTTTTTATCTTTTGGGATTCTAGTAATGCACTGCATTTTGGACCCTTCAATTATTAGTTTGGTTATAAGAAATTATTTTAAAAAAAAATAAAATTAAAACCAAAATATTATTATAAACAATTCATTTTTTGATAAAAATGGAAAAAAAAATCTTGATATAATAGTAATTTTAGCTCTAAAACTTGTAATTTAGAATGATTTTTCCTACTCCCCTACATGACGACTTAGACAAAATAATAAACACAATGCTCATTAATAGAATTCAACACAATATAAGATATTGAGAGCAGCTCTAAATAACAATAAAAATATTTTTGAGAGAAGAACAAGTAATTTCGCAGAAGAACAATTATTATATTGATATTCTTTTCAAACATGAAGATTAAATTTATTAAATTTTGATCACATTGATAGAATACATAAATTTTAAAGATTAAAATTATTATTAATTTATTATATCAGGTCACAAAATTATTTGATCTAATATTTAATGATATGATGATCGATTTATAATAATATCTTAATTGAGTGATTAAATTGTAACCTTTATTGAAAAATGTGACATATATATAACTGAACTTTAATAGTGATCTAAAGTGTATTTTACCATAATGCGTTTGGTTCACGGAATGTAAGATTACCAGTGGGAATATAAGATTACCAGGGAATAGGATTACTGAGAATGCTGTATTTTGTGTTTGGTTGGCTTAGCAGGAATGTAAGATTACCGTGTTTGGTTAAAGGAATAAAAGATTATTGGAATGTATATTTGACCAAATTGTCCTTATTATATATTTGTATAATATTACAAGTTGGAAAATATTTATATTTTCTTTAAAAAAATTTAAATTCATGATATTTATATATTTTTTACAAAATTAAAAATAAAAAAAAGTTTAATGAAAGAGTAAAATTTTATTTTAACCATTGAACTTCATATAAAATTTTAATTATAGATTTTTTTTGTAAATCTAAAATAATTTAAGGATAAATTTGTAATTTAA